TTATTATACTTCTGATCCATTTATAGTGCTCTGTTTGTAATTTCTTTGTGTAAATGTGAAGTAATATGGTAAATCATTTACTAGCTTGTGCAAAATCTTTCCCAGACACCACAAGAATGCATTAAGATCCTTTCTGTGGACAAATACAAAGTCAGACATTCTCTTCTTTGTATTCTCCTCTGTGTAGACTCTGTCTGCCCATGCCTATCGATGTGGTGTACACATGGGTGAACGGCACAGACGTCGCTCTGCTGAAGGAGCTGAATGCGGTCAAAGATCAGCTGGAGGAGGAACAGAAAGCTCTGAGGTAGCTGTGGGTCCAAAAAAACACGTCAGAAGAGCTCAGTGGTTTATCACTTTTTTACTGATTAGATATTTTTTTACCAAGATAAGACAAATTCTTAGGATTAAAGGTTTTTCTAAATGACTGATCTCATCAATGCATCTGTACACTGTTTTGAGGTCTGTGCCTTTTTGTGGCTGCCGTTAGTGTCGAATTACCTGTTTTCTCACTTACAGGGAACGCCTGGGGAAAAATGCAAGCGACGCGACAGAAGTGCCAAAAGACAGGTGAGTGCGTTTATTTGGTGCTCCAGTTCCTGCACAAATATCCTCCCCTGTCCGTTTGTGTTATCTCTAAAAGCTCACGGACTCTTCAGTATGTGAGAGTGGTGGGCATGGTCCAACTGCAAATTGACCATCTAAAAGTGACAAAGCAGCAGTTTTTGAACAAAACGTCGAACAGGAAGTTGTGGCCGGTTCATCCACTCAGAAATTGATAYGATGTTATTGTTTAGCATGCTTTAAACAGGGGTTAAGAAAGTAAAAAGGAAAACATTTCTAACAGACGAGCAAAGATAAGAGTTTATTGTTTCGCAGGGGGAAGTCTTAACTGATCTGTGGTAAAGATCTGCCTTTGGTTTTGACATTTCCCGTGTCTTCACCTCTAACATGTCAAAACTGATAAACTACCCCTCCCGYTTTCTTTTCTTTTCTGTTTCTCCTCCTCTCCTGTGGTCAAAGTGTGAAACGTTAACCACAGGTACGACGTAACCTTCCACGTTTGCCGAACGTGTGAACTTCATTTCACACATAAAGCGCAGCAGCAGTGCTTCTCTCAGTCTGCATGGTTTATTCCCGCGGTTCGTTTACGTGGAACATTTTTGTCACCGTTTTGGCAGCGAGAAGCCCGAGTGTCTGCTGTCCCGCTGCATCGTAGCGCCCATGTTGGCGCTGGATCCCGCGCTGCCGGCCAACGTTACGGTCAAAGAGCTGCCGGCGATCTCTCCCTCCTTCGCCGCCGCCAAAGAGCTGCTGCTGATGAACAAACCCTTCCAGCCGCCGCTCGCCGTCTCCGTGGTCGTCTTCCACTCGCAGGCTGACGGTGAAAACACAACCACTAAATTAATTAAGCTGTAAATGTTTWAAATATCTAATTTTGTTCCTCGTTTTTTTTTTTTGTGTCAACAGCCGATAAAGCTTATAAAGATGTTTCCAAAGAAGTCCACAAGTTCTCCGTTTCCTGGTGTTTCTTGGTAAGCGCTGATTTCTGCGTTATTTTTCCCACGTGAACGACACGAGCCTCGTTTGCTAAGAATGAAGATGATTAGACATCAAATGTTTCTGTGTTTTTTCACGTCCCAGACGACAGATAAAGAGGCTCCGGGCCTGATCCGCATGCAGACTCTGGCCTATCTGAGCGGCTTCCCAGCATCCTTTAAGGAGACGGAGCAGCTGCGAGTTAAACTGCCCTCAGTCGTAACCAACAAGATGAAACAGGTAAAGGGCTTCAAATATCTGCTCAGATTTGACTTATTTGTTCTTAAAACTTGAGGAACATGATCCAGATCTGCCTCTTGGTAGGAGGTTGCGAGGAAAAATGGTTGTTTCAGTTTTAACCAGCAGGTGGCAGCGTTGTTCTCTAGATCAGTGGGAAGAAGCAAGTCCTGCTTTCGTTTGTTTTTTCTTAGTGCAGAACATCTGGATCATTTGTAGTTTCTTTCTTAGCGTCATCTGAATGCCAACAGAAATCACACTTTATTTCTTATCACTGTGCTGATTTAATAACGAAAACACTTAAAGTTTTGATCTCGCTTCTTGGTAAGTTTTTAAACCAAACGGAGCTAAAATGTCTCCCTCGTCTAATGTCAGACCGTTCAGTTGATTTGCGAATAAAGGACCTCTGTGTGGCTCTGCTGACAGTTTGGGTGTTCTGAGAGGGATGAAAGCCACTAATGAGCGTGGAATGAGCTGAAATAATCTAACAAAACAAAAGCAGCTTGGAGCTGAGTGATCTTGTTGAACCAGCTGACCGTGAGGCTCAGGACGATCAGTTTGTCCCGTCTCCTGACGACGTACTCACATGGCTGATGGGAAGAAAGAGGTGATAAATTAGATAACATCTTTCATAACTACCTTTGTATATGAAACGATTGTTATACAACAGGCGGATAATAATAGCTGTGGACTGTTGCTGAGGTGTTGCAATGGATGTGAAATCATAAATAATTATACATTTTTAAGAGCAATTCTAGAGAAACGAAGCGTTTTCTCTGTCTTGATCTTTTAGAGCAGTGGTTCCCAAACTTTTTGTCTGCTGACCCACAAAATATCCATGGCAAAAACTTGTGACCCCAAATATTACTGGTCTGAGTACATGAACTTCGCTAATAACCCTAAAAACACAGGCTTTTTGACAATCTAAACAGCTTATACACAAATATAAATACTTATTTATACTTATTTTGTGTTTTTGTAATAATTATAGGAAAAATATTACATCAGCAATTATTTTATTACCCTTTAAATTGATTTCTGGAGATTATCCAAGGTGCTTCATGACCCATAATTGGGCCCCAAGCTCAACTTTGGGAACCAAAGTGCAGTGGTTCCCAAACTTTTCAGCTTTTGACCCACAAAATAACAGTAGCAGAGACCTGTGCCCCCAACTATTTTTGGATGATAAACATTTGTATCAGGTCAACAAAACATGGGCATAGTAACAATATTTTTATACTACATTTATCCATTTTAAATATACTAAACTCACTTCTTTGTACAAACTAAGGCAAAAATGTAATTAATTCAGAAAATCTTTTCAGGACCCCACCTTGATGTTTCGGGACCCCACTTTGGGTCCCGACCCCAACTTTGGGAAACACTGTTTTAGAAGATGAAACTAAACATCTTTTTGTTCTGATTGTTTTCAATAAACATGATGATTATTCATAGTGGTGTCCCAATWCCAGAAAAATTCCCCGATACTCAGAACCGATACCAATACTTGTATTAATACCAGGATACTGGTATCGATACTCCATTTAAAGTATTTCARTTTGCATTTTTAGTGATAAGTTTCACGTTTAAGGAAGCTCTGAACGTTGAAAGAAAATTTTATTTGTTGTTTTTGTTTATTTTCAAATCTGTATATCTCATTTGATTTCAATAAGGAACGAGAGCCGCCTTCTTCTAAATAAAAGAAATGTGTTTTTAACGTCGTTGTGTAATGTTTAGTTTCAGGCTCAGTAAGTACTCTGTAGTAGCGAGTTACCAAATTGAAGTACTCGTACTCTGTTTGAGAAATCTAATATCCGAACACCCCTCAGATTATTCAGTATTTTAATTTAAAATGTTAAATCTTCAGTTCACATCATATTTACATGGGACCCAATCAGTTCCCTTCGAGGCATGTAGGTCTAATTTTTCAATAACGTTTGCATTTTGAAAACCTTTTTTGTTTTCCAGAAAACAAAACAAAACAAACAGTGTAATGTTTATTGTAAAATATTATAAAAATGAAGTATTTAACGTAAAAAAAAACTATAATATGTTACATATTATTTATAATTTTTGTCACTTTTTGTGTCGATTAAGGCTGATCAGCTTTGGCGGCTAACTTGAATTAGTGGCTAGTTAGTTAATTTAAGTTTATTTTAAACATGTATAAAAAGGTTTTTAAAAATGTAACAAGATAACAAATAAAACATATTTGGAAAGGAAAGGGAAGAAGTAAAAAAAAGTATTTATTCCCACATTTCTCCAAAGCTTACTCAAAATAATAAATCCTTATGTTTCCTTATTATAAATCATGATTATTTTAGTATGACCAAAACAAAAATCAGTTTACCTAATAAATTATATAACGATAACAAAAAATGTCATTGATGTATAGCTATATAACATTGATATATACACTATAACTGTTAGTTTTAGCTGTACTGTCTGGGATTACTTTGTGCGACTCCAACAGTTCATATCAAAGCAAACAAGTGACCTCTCRCTGCATTGGGAACAACTGGGAAATGAGATCCTTTTGTTTAGCCACTCTGCCCTGCCACTCTCAGGATCTACACCAATCTGAAACATTGAAAATTAAGGATTTAAGCTCTTTTTTCCCACAGAGTCTGTGGAAATATTAACCAGAAGGAAGACGCAAAGTTGAGATGTCCTCCTAGGATTTTTATTAAATAAAAAAAATACTTTACCCTGGGCTTTCAATTAGAGTTTTTATGTTTTTGCCATGTTTTACTGTGCATTAAAATGTGCAATAAATGTTTTTTTGAAGTTCAAAACGCTTGTTTATTGAGGCTTGTATTACTAAATTGCCTGCCTGTTAGATTAATAGATTAATTGAAAAAATAATCAGTAGATTAACTGATTACTAAAATAATCGATAGCTGCAGCCCTACTCTGAACATATGTTCAGGATGACTCTCAGCTACTACCACACCAGATTCCAGCTCATATCTGTAAAATCGTCCGAGTTGGGCCCTTTTTTCATGTTTCCAGGGCTGGTGATGGCCGTTTTGTATTTGGTTGATTTTCAAATCTTATTTAGTGTAAATGTGAAGATGAACAGCTGCTGGTCTGCGATGAGCTGCAGGTTAACGGCGTTTAACCCACATATCATCAACATGAA